TTAAAGGCTAAAGGCCCCCCCCCCCCCCCCCTCCCCCCCACGCGCTGTCAGTAATTACTTCTCCCCGAGGACATGTTGTCCCAGAAACTCTTAAGTGCCCGGACCGGTTTATTTGTCACTCGCAGGGCGATTCCCGAGACCGCCCGTCCCCTCCGCCGGCTCCGGCGTGCTGGAAGATCTCTGGTGACCAGATCGGTATTGCTCGTTATCTCGCGAGGAAACTAAACGACTTTGCGTGCGTCGGATGGAAGTGCTCGGAGGACGCGAGGGATGCCGGAAACCCCGCCCACAGCGACTGATTCAGAACGACCAGCGATTGGCTCTCCACATCATCCTCAGACTTCCATGTTAGAATACACGTTACAATCTGATCCCACAATCTCTGTACACTCAACTTAAGGCCCCATTCATAGCAGGGCGGATGCGTTTCAGCGCTCTTTCCACGCGAATTATAAGGCCTGCTTCACACCTGAACGTTTTGTAGCGCGTTCTACGCTCGACGAACGCTCTACAAAACGGTCAAACATCTAAATCCCATTGTATTCAATGGTCTCGTTCACACCTGGGCGTATTTCAGCCCGTCCCTAACGCGCTACAAAACGGCCCACGCCTGAAAAGGTACAGGTACTACTTTGGGCCGTTTTTGTTGCGCGTTTCCATTGGGATACAGCCAAGTAGCCCTCGGAAACGTGCGTTTGTCGCGCAATTTTTTTACTGCGAATCGCGGTTAAAAAAACGCGCGTCAGACACGTATATGCAATACGCCTAGGTGTGAACCAGGCCTAAAAGGGCAGTTTTGGGCGTTTTTAAGTGCTGAAACGCAATTAAAAATACCCAAAAATCAGCGCGTTGCCATTCAAATCTATATGGAATATGGACGCGCGATCGCATGAACGGTCCCCATAGGAATGTATGGGATCGTTCATGTCGGCGGTTCAGCGCAGACAAATCCGCGCGACCGAACCGCCATGGTGTGACCAGGGCCTTAGATTTACCAAAACTTTGTAATATGAGGACCCTCCTGATCTCTCCGATCAATGTATCCGATCAGACCGGCCCTTCTACTACATGCTTTTTGGTAGATCCAAAGCTGGCCACACATGTGATCTGATTGTACAATCTTCTGCCACCTATGTACGGCCACGGGCCGGCCGGACTGGACAGATGTCCTGATGTCTTCTCCCGATGTTCGGCCATCTTGATCGGCCTGCTGAGGGTGACGCGTCTCCCCCACACATGGGCATTGGAGCTCATTGGCCCCGATATAGAGGAATGCCGGGAATGTACACTGAGCACCTCCTACAGAGGAATGTCAGCGGGACGGGAGACGGTTTTATTGAGGAGAATTCCGTCTCTTCTGCAATAACAAACAAACATTCAGGCTGTCAC